TCGAAAGCCTTGCAAGGAATTGTAATTTATAATATATCACAGTGATAATGAACACCCTACCTATGAAAGAAGCAATAGATTTTTGATTGTGGTTTAGACAAATGATAGAAAACGTTCAGTGTGATTGCAGCTTGCCTCCTAGGATATCAGATCACCCACCATCTCAGACATAACGGGCTCATGTGACAGCTGCCCACGGGTGATATATAAATGCATATTCAGCAATCCGGGAATCAGGCCCAATTGAGTACATTAGCTAAAACACATGCAACAACCTTCAGGGAGAGACAGTACATATACAAAATCTTGTTCTCATTTGCATAGTCCCTTGGGAGTGCTTACAGTATGTGTTTGTTTTTTTAAACTCCTTTAAATATCCACTCTTAATGAAAACCCACACTCCACATAGCCTGCAGCACAGGCTGCCTGCCAATGGAGGTTTTCGTTGTGACACATTAACAGACGTTGGATGTAATGGTTTCTGACATCAAGTTATAAGGTAAGGTGGTACTTTCATACATACTGTACTGTAAAGCAGTTATATGTTCCTATATGCATGAGATGTATAATGTTTTTCATTCCAAATATTATTCACTTTCGTAACCTTTGAAAGCTCCACTATTCATAAAACATTAGTGTCAATATCAAAACTTGAGGGTTGTTTATGCTAAATCTTTGCTATCCCATTACTAAAATATCATAGCATTAAAATATGGATTGAGCTGGAGTATCTCAAAAACATTCATCGTCTACAATGAATGGAATTACATACCAACTTCAGTAATGCTGGTTAATTTTTTCCTCGTTAAATTCCAGCATGAATGTTTACCATGAATCCCATAAAAATGCAAATGAAGCGGCGCAATCGGCATGCTACATGTATTGCACTGAATTTAGACCATTGGACTTTAGTAAGCAAAGGCACACCGAATCCACGAAAAACGGCAACTGAACTGTTTGTCAGGGTTGAGAGAGGCAAGCAGGACCCAAATGCAGATTAACAGAAAATACCTTTATTTCAAGGCTTGAAGACAGAACTCTTCCCCGTGAACACAGTCCAACAACAACAAGGAACTCACAAAGACTAACAGAAAACACAGAACCTAAATGCACACAGGACTAATCAAACAAACAAGAGACAGGTGAGGAGGGAGGAGAAAACACAGGGGCACCAGGTGAACACAATCGGGTAATCAGGTAGGAGGGAAAACAGACAGAAAGCAACAGGCAAGACAGGGGGTGAACACTTTTCAGTAAAAACAGGAAATTAAGACAGAGAATAGACAAGAACAAAACACAACACAGTAACAGAATCGTGACACTGTTTGCTTTAAGTGTGGTGAAAATGGAGGCAAAGAGGTGGCGAGATTCTAGAGACAAGCGTCAGTCCGAACAGATAGCTGCTCTAATAGCGACAGTAGCAGGGGCGAAATTGTCAGGGTTGGGGAAAAATAAGATCTAAATGCAGGATTGAGGAACAAGAACCGATGAACCAGGTACGAAGGTAGCATTCCAAACAAAAGGTGACTGCTGGACCAACATGAAAGGGAGACCATGAACGACAAATAATGAAACCAAACCCTGAACACGGAGAGACAAGACCTAAATATGGGAGGGGTAATCACGAGACGAGGAAACAGGCCGGGCAGGGGAAGGAGAAACACAAGGCAACAGGTGAACACAATCAGACAATCAGACCACACCAGGGGAAACTAACGACAGGGAGGAAGGACAAGACACAGGTAGAACAGAATAGCAAAATAAAACCATGACAAGACAGACCAAGAACTAAACCGTGACATAAAACTAAGATCGTTACAGAAATAATACTATAAGAGCATCATGTCCTGTTTTAGCGAATCATAGCTGCTCCACATTACGAGCGGGATTGGTCTATGCTTTAAGGTGTCAGAAAAATGGTCAGACCTTAGCAATAATTCCGAAACCTGTTAAAAGTTTTTTTTTAAAAGTCTGATTAAGCTACCATGTTGGTGATGCATTCTTTGATCAGTAAACCAACACCATTTGTATTGTAAACACAAGAAAACTTGGGAGATTATTTCTGATTAATCAGTACTATGATGCATTGCTGATTACCTCCATCAACAGCTCCAGTATGACTCTTGCCTTGTTTTGACTGCTGGGCTTGTATTTCTTGTATTCAGTTGTTTGATTAGCTTAGAAGATCTATTTCCACCCTTGCTGGACAAGTAACGATGTCTTGTCTTTAAGCGGGTAGTCATTATTCCTCGTAGTCTCTTTATGAGGTTGACATTTATGGGTCTTTTGGGTGCGATAGGTGTTTTTAAAAAAACTTATCTTTCAAAACATCAGAGACTTTCGTCCTGAAACAGTAACTCTTAGACTCGAAAGCCACAGTTAGTCTTTCTGGGGAATATTTCTGCTTAAGAGTAAAAACTACTTTACAGAAATAATACTGCGTCTTGCAAAAGCGACAGATGATTAAGGTTATGTGGGGCGCTGCTCAAACTCAACTTATGTGGAAGTTCCTTTTTGTTAGTCCTTTTGATACATTACCGGAGTGCGGAGCTAAAAATTGCTCCTCTGTCGAGCTGTCAAACATGGGTATTTATTAGCGAGAGGGACTAATGAAGTATTTATAGTTTTACATAAGTTGCCTTTTAGCGCGCGCGAGCGCAGCAAAAGGTGTGTGAGATACATCGTACAGTAATTTGGCGCGCGATACCGTTGCTGGGTGCTTTGCCAAGATATGCCGACATTCTGTTTCAGCTCGTATTTGTGTTTTTTTTTTTTAATTCTATTTACAATGTTTGCCTGTATCTTGGTCAGTGCGTCTATTTTAACATGACCAGGGGGATGATGACTGGCATTTGGACGTATTGCGCCGCGTTACATGCCTTTCAGCTAGTGGGGAAGAATATATAGCAAGTGTCGACTAGATGAGTAGATAATCGGATGATGTTAATTTCGCTGTCATTAAGTTTGCAGTTGATGTTAGCAAAAAACCATGTTCCATATGTCCGGCGGTTAGTAGATTGGATATGATTGACTTTCAATCTGGCATCATTTTTAGAATATACAAGAGGAGCGCCCTGCGATCGCAGTTCTCGACAGGATGGTTACATCATTGAGACCACGGGAGCGATTTGATAGAATCACTCGGAGGAAAAATTGAGCGCAGTTATCAGGCGAGCTTTTGATGGAACACAATAAGAGGAACAAGCAGTGACAAAATGCAAAATAACTGCATATTCTACTGCATTATAGAGTACCGACAAATAATGATGTCATTTAGAATGTGTTTCTTTATTTAGCTTGCCTCAAAAGCCTTGCAGTGTAAACAAGAGTGAACAATACTTTTAAGAGGGTGACTAGAGAAGGATTTCTAGATACTTCAGTGTAACCAGTGTGTTACTTCCGATCGATCTGTTTNTTTCTGACACTCTGGGTATTTGTAAATGTTGAATTTGTAAATATGATATCCTCTGTTGTTTGTTTGTTTGTTGTTTTTATGTTTCATGTGGAACTAAATGATGCAGATCTCCCTTGTAAATGAGATCGATGATCTCAAGGGACCAATCTGTCTAAATAAAGGTTTGAAATGAAATGAAATGAAGTTACTTCACCGTCGGGGGTCCCGCCGACTCAAGTCCCTTCTCAAGTCCCCTCTCTGTTGGTGGTCCTGCCAACTCCATGTCCTGTGTCGTTGGGGGTGCCACTGAGGGTCCTGCCAACTCCATGTTCTGTTCCATTGAGGGCCCAGTTGACACCATGTCCTGTCCTGTTGGAGGTTCCGTCGACACCTGTTCCCCCAGGTTTCCTGCCAACACCATGTCCTGTCCTGTTGGGGGTCCCGCTAACTCCTGCTCACGGTGCTCCTGTTCTGCCGGTGGCTCCACCGGCTACTAACTCTGTCCTGCCGGGTGTCCTGCCGACATCCAGATCCTATTCTGCCGGTGGTCCAGTCAGCCACGAACGCGGCCCGTCCTTGTGACAGGCTCCCAGACTATGCCCGCCGTGGCCTTAGCCGCTTCTCTGCCTCTGCCGTGCCCCCGGGCCGTCTGTCCGATTCCCTCTCCTCAAACTTTGCCTTGCCACCGGGCCGTCCGCCCGAGACCCCCTCCTTGAACTCTGCCTTGCCCCTGGGCCGACAGCCCGAGAAGGGTCTCGGGCTGTCGGCCCAGGGGCAAGGCAGAGTTCAAGGAGGGGGTCTCGGGCGGACGGCCCGGTGGCAAGGCAAAGTTTGAGGAGAGGGAATCGGACAGNGAAACAATTATTTATAATCCAGAATTCAATTTTTATGTAAAGATTGGAGCAAAGAAGTTAGCTAATGGTAGCCACCATGTATGCAGCTTCCGGTTTTGGCCACGCGTCACTCTCACTTCTTATTTGTTCATGTGTTGGTGTGTGTAGAACTTCCCCTCGATTCCATTGGCTCTAGCGGTTATAAAGAGATTTCATTCGTCAAAATCGACCAAGGGGGGCCAGAGATATGGAAAATCCACCCAAATGACCCCAGAAGTGTTTTTTTTGTGCTAAATCTCTCTAAAAAGGTCAAATATCACTTGTTTTGCATCAATCTTGATACAAGGTACTTATTATATGTTGTACTTTGGATTCCTAAAGCTTTTAGTCTACTAACCCATCATCCAAGGGTAGTTTTCAATCTGAATTTTCTTTAAAATAAAAAACATCTATATTGATTCTGACTCTTCTACATCTAACTCACAGGTTTATCATAACTTTGAGAAAAAAGATTATTAATGTAACCTTTTTAGAAGGGAAGATATGGTCATTTGTTCTGGGAATGTCATTTTCGAGCCTGAGACCTGAAAAACAGGCTCAGTGCTTAACAGGTTAAAAGTTGTAAAATGCGCTTAAAGCTGAACCCAGAGTTAATTTCCCTCCTCTATTAATTGGATTGAGCCAATACCAGATTTGAAACTGCCATAAAGAAGCGGATTGGAGGCTTGGCTTTAGCATTTGTGCATGTGCTTTTGTAACCCCGGTGTAGTGTCCCCTCGGCAACAGACCACTCAGAGCTGGTGATTACTTCAGTCCATTTCCATACCTGCATTTCAATGGACAACATGAAATGGCTGCGTTTCTCAACAGATCCTCACACGGTATATAAATCTCCTTTACAAAATAAGTGTCCAATAATCAACAACACAACAATGATCGTATAGTGGTATTATAAACAATGTGAAACATTAAACATAAACAAACTGGTGTACAAAACTCACATACCTGCATGTCAATTGACAACATAAAATGGACACGTGAGCTGCGTTCTGTTGGAGAGATAGCACCACGCTCACGTTTGCCTATTAGCTCAAATTAGCTATTGATGATCACATTAATAAATCATATAACACAAATAGCCAATCACACAAAAAACATGTTGTGAGCATTAAACGACTAACATTAAACTAAACAAACACAACGTTATTGTCCTAATAAAATAATAACATACCATTTTGTCCACCGACATAATACAATAGCACCTTACTCTCAACAGATCCTCACGCGGTATGAGACTCTCCCACAATCCATTGAGGTAACAAAGCTACAGTAATGCAGGCACGCGTTTGTAACACCAGATGGCGTAATTCTCCAATTTAACCCGGATTTTACACCAACCTTTATAACTCTGTTACACTTTGTTTTTAAATGCCGCCTTTTCCAAAAAACTGCCTTTTTCAGCTTTAACAATGTTCTCTTTATCAATTCCACATCAATAAATGATCATCTCATTGTATCAAAACAAATACAAGCTTTTTGCATGGAACCAGTGCATATTGTTAACAAGCTCATCTGTAGGGAACATTACCGCCAATGTGTCAGCGAGTGACCCGCCAGATGACGGGAACACGCCCATCCTGATTGGCTGCCTGGTCACCATCATCCTGCTGTTAGTCATCATCATCGTCCTCATCCTCTGGTGCCAATATGTCTGCAAGGTGCTGGAGAAGGTGAGCAGATTAACCACTGAAGAAGAGACAGAGGATAATGGAAGTTGATTTTGATTTTAGTAAACAGGTGGTGAATGCTCAAGCTTCAAACCTATTTTGGATGACCTTAAAATAAAATAAAATAATTTTCTACAGCGTTGTTATGTTTGTATGTTAATGACAAACACTGAAAAAACTGAAACAATGACTTTAATTAAATGTATTATGTCAACAGATTTCACATAACTGTATTGGGTTATTTATACAAATAAAAAAAAATGGAAATGGAAAGGCAGCTTTTTAAAACCAAAGGTTCCTAATCAACCTCTTCCCTTGAATTTGAGCATTGAATATGGAGATTTTCTACATGTTCTTTTTCTTTTTTAACTTTCTCCTCCTTCAGGCTCCACGTCGGATCCTGGACGAGGAGGTGACCGTCAGGCTGTCGTCCTGCAGTGACACCATCATCCTGCAGACCCCCCCTGTGCCCCCTCGCTCAGGCCACGCCCCCACAGGTACACTACAAAACATTTGGAGTATCATGGTCATTTTATTTCATTTAATATTTTATTTGGCAGGGACAATGCACAGTAATGAACACTTAAAACATTCAAATGTGTCAAGCGTAACAGTGCCAGATTTAGCTTTGTACTAATTTCCATCCGTAGTCCCTCCCTGGTCAGATTTGTAGTGATCATATTTTCATATACGTATTAAAGATCATATATAAATACAATTAATTACAAATAATCATTAGTATTATTATTTGTAGTGTTATTATATATATTGTTATCACCATTAATAATGATAATAAGGTAATTGTGCTATTGGAGTTATGCATATTTTTATGTTCATAAAAAACATTTTTTTTTCACAAAAGGCTAAACAGGATATAGGCAATAAAAAAATATGTTCTTTGGATTTAAATTGATGTTTTTTCACTTCAAACACCAAATTGACTAATTTGATGATGATTTTTTTAATATTTAACAACATTAAAGCCATTAGTTAATCGAAATTGCTCCTGGATTATGTCCTGCACAAAAACACTGCTGATTTTCAAGTCCAAAGTAGAAACATATAAAGTCACTTGCTCATCAAAGTGACGTATGATGTTTTCATGGACATATGTTGTGTATATAAGAATTGTATGGTTGTCTCTGTCAGAATTTGAGGAAAGGTAGGGCCCAAATGCAGTTTAAAAAGGGAGAAGCAGGTTTCAAAGGGTAACAAAAAGCGAGCTTTATTTCAGAAAGCCTATGACAAAAGAAAAGCAGGAACAACTTAACATTACCAAATCAGGGGAGCACGAGTAAGGAATCCAGGACCAAAAACTTCAGGGACAAACATGAAGCGTGACGTGAAAGGAAAGACAACAAACCGACATGGAGCACAGGGGAAGACAAGACTAAATACACAGAAGGGAAGACACAGCTGAGCAGGGGAAGCAGAAACACAAGGGTAACAGGTGAACACAATCAGACAATTAGACACAGGAGGAAAAACACAGGAAGGAAGACAAGACACAGGGAGAACAGCATTTAAAAAATAAAACCAAGACAAGACAGACAAAACTAAAATCGTGACATAACCCCCCAACCCTCAAGAGACGGATTCAAGATGTCCCTTAAAACAAAACAATATCCAACATTCCAGAAGGGTGGGAGTAGGGGGTCCGGAGGACGGGTTTGGGCTGACAGCCCGGGGGCACAGCAGAGGACCCGGAAGGGGTCTCGGGCAGACGGCCCGGGGGCAAGGCAGAGGACTCGGAAAGGGTCTCGGGCTGTCGGCCCGGGGGCAAGGCAGAGGACAAGGAGGGGGTCTCGGGCGGACGGCCCGGTGGCAAGGCAAAGTTCGAGGAAGGGTGAAGGCCACAGCGGGCGAACTCAGGGGGCCGGGCACGAGGGAGAAGGCAGCGACTGGGAGAGTCAGGGGACCGGGCTTGAGGGCGAAAGCCAGGGAGCCGGGCTTGAGAACGGGAAAGACAGAGGCGGGACAGCTCCGGAGGACTGCGTACGCCACAGTGGGAACCCTCCGGTGTCCGCTGGATCGCCCGAGCAGGAATACTGGGTACGGTAGCAGGAGCAAGACATGAACCAGTGTGGGCCGGACAGGAACCCTGGACGGAACATGGGCTGGTGTCAGTGGGACCCTGGACGGAGCAAGGGCTGGTGTCGACGGAACCTCGAACAGGACAGGACATGGTGCTGGCAGGAAATTCGCATCGTGGATCGGGACTTTCGAACAAGATTCGGAGATCTTTGAAAGGACCCCAGACCGGACCGGAACCCTCCGGGCGTCTAGGAGGCGCGTTCCAAAGACCCTCTACGTCCGTCCTAAGGTCGGTCACGAGGGTCGTCGAGGTCAAGGTCGAGGGTCAAGGCCGGGGGTCGTCGGGTACAAAGACTCCGAGGGTGATGACCGAAGGGCCGGTCGGGGGGCACAGGACAGCCGCATGGCCAGCTGAGGCAGGAAGAAGTGAGCCCGGCTGCGTTCAGGGAGGGCGAGCCACCAGGGCGGTTGAGACTACAGGGAAGAAGTAGCCTCCAGGGCCGGCAGAGTTCAGGTCTGAGTACGGCTAAAGATACACGTGTGAGAGAGGATATAAGACCAGCCAGGTCGGACTCTGGACAAAGCACTAGATACGGTTGAGGTACAGGACAAGGCAACTCGCAGGTCGGCCTGGGCGACAAAGCAAGCCACCAGGGTGGATGTGGCA